GCAGATATACAAGAAGTGTATGCGACAATCGGAGTTATATATGTACATGTGTATCTATTTACAATGGATACATGGATGTGATTTCTTCGTGAAAATTAGTTGATCTTACTTTTCATTAAAAAAAAGAAGCACTGCTTTTTAATGAAACCTTTTTAAAAATGCTCACTTAATCCTATCGAATACTTTTTGAGTCTGTTTTTCCACAGCTTGCCCCAAACCTTTCCAAAAGGCACTCTGCAGCTCCAGTGTGAAGTGCCCCTTGCAAATATGCCTACAACCAGCAGAGGCAGAAACAAGTATTGCCCAACAGTTTCCCAATGTGCTTTGTCTAGCAAAGTCAGTCACTTCCTGGAGTGCGCTAAAAATCAAACCTGCCTTACATTTGAGCGTCCTTACACTTTTCACCATTTCAGGAGTGTGTGCCAGAAGTGACTCAAACCAAGCCAGGTAAATCAAACCAGGATGGCTCTATTGAGTGTGGGGAAAGGATCACATTTTTAGCTGTTTGTGTGTTGTAAGAGAAACTATCTTTGGAGCTTCACCTGCATAATTTAACAGTGCTGTGGTTTACATGTGCAACAGAACAACTGGTTGAAATCTATCTGGGCAGTTCTAGCACAGTTGTTACTTACTGTCCCTCTTCTTGGCTTGGGGGACAGATATGTGTTTGGCTCTCAGCTGTCCAGCACTCAGCCCAGGTCTTTAGCTCACTGCCTCACTAAGCTGGATCTTACTAATCTTGGTGAGTTTGCTGGCTTACCAAGCTGGCTATAGAGCTGGGCCTTTTGGTTCCTGAGGATAGAGAGAGAATCTGCCTAGATGGGCGTGCTGGCACAGAGCTCCTCTTTCTGTGGCTGTGGGTCCTTCTGCCCTCCTGTTGGAGGGGTGTGTGTGTGTGTGTGTGTGTGCGTGCGTGCATGTATGAGCACCCTACTCCATCTGTCCCATATTTTATATCGTTACCTGCTTTGAACTTGATCAGCGCTTCCTGTCTTATGAATCCATTTGACCTTTCTATGTACATAGTTATTTATGTTCTATTTCCCCAACTGGAATTCAGCCCCCATGAGGACATACTGCTGGGGGCTTGTACAGTACCTGCTGCAATGCTTGGCACTAGATGGAGTAACACCAGTGCTCTAGATGGTTGCAAAAATATGCTCTATGTCAGGCAGTGGAGGGTTTGCTGGACAAAATGAACTATGCATTTAGAAAGCAAAAGGTATGTGTGTGGCTGGGTGCGTGCACACACGTGTCCTGAACTAGTGGTCGTGGTCATCAGAGGAATGCAAGAGGGATCCAGAAAGCATCTTCTGAACTCTGACTGCTTAACACTGCCATATGGCAGGGAGAGGGGGAAGGTGGTGATAAGCTGTGAGCTGCTGGCCTCCTTCCTCTGAAGTGCATAGCTGAATTAGACGTGGTAGTTGGAGCTCTGTGGGATCCTCAGGCCACTCAGATGTCCCCCGTGGAAGTATGTGCTAAAAACCTCTGAAAGAAAGGAAGACCCAGGATCCCAGGACAACCAAAGCTCTGACCTCTAGAGGGGTTGATACAATTTACAAATTCTGTGAAGATGAGAGAAGTTGCAGCTCTTTGTCATAAGGCAGGTCCCTGCTGTCCAGTAGGTAGTGGAAATTAGCTGGAAGGCCTGTATTGTGGACCTTTGCCTCTGACTTCGCCTCTGCTGAGAAAGAACCCTGGGTACAAGCACACGCCCCACGCACTCAGAAGCTGTCTGTCTAGTCATGAGTCACAGTCTCTGCTGCACACCCCACCGTGGGCCGCTCGGCGTTGGCAGTCTGTTGCAAGATTGTGAATACTAAAATATGTGCTAAGAGAAAACTTTTCTCAAGCCGTGCTTATGCTGATACAAATTACTCTTCATTAAAAGAAAAAAAAAAGCACAAAATATATTTATTTTCAAAGTGTAAGAATTTATAATGAAGACAGCAATTTGCTCCATTCCCTGTATATAAAGTTTTCATCTTCCTATAGGTAGAAGTGTAGTTGATGAACAGGATACATGCAAATTTATTTGGTACTGTTCTTAGATTGTAGGTGCAAATGTCAAGAAAATTGATATTAATTTGCTTCTGTAAGCACTCTCCTTAAAAAAAGCAGACTACTGACTAGACTTCCCCCAAATCAAGAGCTTTTTTTAGCTTCTTAGCAGGAAGTTTACTGAATTGAAGCATGGACGTGCAGCTCTCAAAACCCTCCCAGGAAGCATCCTTGGGTGGTGGTTGAACAGTGTAATCTAGTGGCTGAGGAAGTCATTGCAGAGTCCAGGCTCCTGAGGTCTCCAGATGTTTGTTTCTTCCAGCTCCACACCAGGTGTGAGCTCTTGCACTTTAGTACCCAGTAAGTGATCATTGGCAGTAAGCAGATCTACAAAATCATGTCTTTTCTTAAGCTAATATGGTTTGGGTGCTACTTTTAAAGGAGAAAAAATGCTTAGCGGTACTTTTGAGTCATTTATATCTACTTTCCTACAACCTTGTGGAGTTGGTGTTGCTCCAGGTTCCTGGCTCCAGGACACACCACTAATTAACTCTGACATTTAAAGCCAACTTTGAATGTCTGGACATCTCTGGATATCCAGAGTTTGCCATTCTTCTGTCTCATCAAATGACATGGCTGTAGGAATGTGTCCCTAAGGAGACAGCAGCTGTAGGGTCTGAGGACATAAGACTGCTCTTTTGGTTACGTGGAAACTGTTGAGTGATTGTATCTAAATCCCATCCTCACATTACTAATTCAGGATAATGCTCATAAGTGTCCCTTGTAAGGCCCATCTTCTGCTGGAGGCAGGTGGATTGTAAAGGACACTGCTCAGTCTTAAAATCTCTCTTAACATGGATGAAGCAGGAACTGAGGGGGGAAGGGAAGAATGCAGACAGGATCAAAGCCATGTGTCAGACACCCATGGCAAACTAGAAAAGGGACAGCTAGTGGGAGGAGGGAAGAGGACGTGCAAAGGTGCGGCCAGGTCTCCTAGCCCCTTTGTGCTGTCATAATCTCCTCTGCTGTGAGCAGCAGGCCTGGCAGCACTGGAAGCTGCTCCCAGAGCCAGATGCATCTCCCTGGGGATGATCCTGGGAAGATTAAGCAACCAGGAGGGAAAGAGTGGTGGACAGTGGAAGGAAGCATCACAAGGTCCTCTAATATAAAAATAAAATACAAACCATTTATGGATACTTACAAATAGGCCAGAGTGGAGGTCTACCAATGTGCTGCCACAAAAATGAAAAAGAAAATCAAAGCTCACTGGCTAAAAACAAGGTTAGTGTGGAAAGTCCATATTACGCTAAGTATTGCATGTCTTCAAATGTTTCTCTGTGTCTCATTTTCTGTGAAAGTCAAAATGTCATCTTAGTTGTCGTTTTGGTGGTCACTTTGTTGAAATTTCAGGAGATTTCAAAGCTTTTAGCTTCTCAGAAATTTGCAATGCCTCCCCTTCAAGAAAGATCTAGTTTGGATGAGATTACCCTGTTTTAAGTGGGATTAGGATGCCAGCCTGTTTCTATAGTTAGTAGCTCCCACTAGACTCTTACACAACTATGAAAACATGATAATCCATGTTTAGTCAATATGTAAAACCACTATGTTTATTATAACTTTTATTATCATAGGACTAAGTTGATCTACAGGAACTTTATCTCCATACTGTTGGCCATGTTACACCATCTGTGTGGCCTGCTTCCTTGAGCAGTGGTCCTATGCACCATGTGGCCAATTAGCAGTGCTGTAAGAGTCATCTGATGGATCCTAACCAGGTTAAAATGACCAATGTCACAGAACATTGGGGGCACTGGGTGTGATGGCACACACCTGTAATCCCAGCACTTGGGAGGCTGAGGCAAAAGGATTGTTATGAGTTCAAGACCACCCTAAAATGCATAGTGAGACCCTGTCTCAAAAACACTAAAAAACAAAACAAAACATTGGAAGCACTTTGCAAACATCAAGTTTTACTAATTACTGATCAGAAAAAATATTTTTTTGCTTGTTGGCTATGAGGTTTGGATTAAATTGTTTAAAGTTCTAGATCTGGCTGTTCCATATGAGTGAGTCTCTTTAAAATTAATTTATTCATTTTATGATACTAAGGATTAAACCCAGGGCCTTTGCTCTTGAGTTTGAAATCTTTCTGCCTCAGCATCTCACAGTGTTAAAATTACGTGTGTGTTTCCCCATGCCTGGAAAATTTTAATATTAATTAATAAAATGAAATGCAATTAACAATTCAGTACCACAGCACCAGGAACTGTGCTTCCAGACCTCAACTGCTGCATGTGGCCAATGTCTACTGAATTTGATGGCACTGCTCTAGACCTGCAGTGCTGAATCACATGACCTTCTGAAGCCTTCTGTCTCCTCCTCTGCTGCTCTAAGATTTCTGATGGTGTACATCATAGAGCTGCTGTAGCCCACATGAAATGATGCCTGTGAAAATGCCATATTGATGGTATTTTTAAAAATTAGTGCAATGTTGTGAAATCATTAGTCTTTGTAATACTGAGTATTACAGTATTGTAAGTATTGTAAGACCCTCCCTGGGGTCTTACAATCCTCTTAGCTCTTTTTTGTAAGTTGAACTATGATATGTGCCTTAAAGTTGACATTCATGCTTGTTCTTTAGGACCCAAGAACATTCCACGTTCTGCACAATTGATAACATCCCTGGACATAGAAGTTACTGTTATATACATATGGAATTCATTACTTTTCTATAAAACCATACCTATCTGAAATTCATAGAGAAGGAGTGTACTGTAACATACGAGTTAATGAGGGTTGTGACCTTTGTCCAGACAGTGTTTAAAGTGGACTGGAAAAAGTAAATGAGTACACATATCTTTGTGCTGCTTGGAGCCAGTGATAACCAAGTTCATTAACCACCAGCAGCCTGAATGACTAACATGCTTCTAGGTGAGGAAGAATCTGGGCTTCCTTGATATAGCTGCTTCTCCTGTGCTTCAACTGGTTTCTTTCAGAGAGTTGCTTGTGTATGCGTACACTGGCAGTTGGCCCGGTAGCCAGCATCATGGAAACAAATCTGAAAAATGTCCTTGTGGTCTCCTTTGGCTTCCTTCTCCTCTTCACTGCCTATGGAGGACTGCAGAATCTCCAGGTAAGTGTGTATCTTGGTCCCTGATTTTAACTTCTGCATTTCTCTTGGCTTCCAAAATCCCTTTGGTCATCAAAAATAGTGAAAGGACATTTTTTTTGTATCAGTTCACTGTAGTACATTTTTGTCACCTCCTTCCAAGTTCTCTAAAACAAACAGTGGTTTTCATGTACAATCCTATAACATTCATCTCCCTCTTACAATCGAGCAAGACTGTACACCAGCATAGTTTGTTTGACCCTTGGCAAGGAGAGCAATGGTCTTCAGTGGTGGTTTGATAACGTGCTCTTTGTCTTTGGGTAGTTAAAAGAAATAAGAAAAATCATTGTGAATTCTATGTTCCATAATTTTAGCTTTGTGCTTTTAGCAGAAGTGCAAGTTATCAAATCTCACTAGAACTTTAAGATTCCAAGCCTGCTTTATGCAAAATTGTGACATTTGATAAAATAGATATTTTGAGCTATTTCATTTGCTTCTGCAGATTTATGAGCTAATAACTGGAGGTAAAACCTTCAGGGACACCCACATACAAGCTGGAAAGCAGGGCCACCTTCCTTCTCCACTGCTTTCACTGGCTTAGCATTGTACCCTGGGGCTAGGCTGCCACATAATGAGACATTTTTAGAGCTCCTGGTGACTGGTGAGTGCAGCCTCACTGGGTCTGTCAGTCGGGGATAAGAAGTAGGGATTCATTTCATGCACACTATGGAGCCTGAAAAACTTACCAGGGGCTCACGACCAAAGGTTCTGTCCTCACTTTTACTCTGGTAAAGCCCTGGACCTCCTCCTGGGTCCTGTTTCTGACAAGGCTTACAGCACAGGAGAGGACAGAAACAGTGATTCTCAAAATCAAGGAAGGAATGCATAATCTCCTTTCTCACTGGGACAGGTCTGACATTTGAAGTCCTCACCCTCTTACTCGTGCCTTGTGACGTTATCCACCAATGTCTTTTTGTGCGGAGTACCTGCTTTGTGTGGCATTGAACCGAGCTCATTCTGAATACAGTCAGGGAGCAGCCTGTGAAAGGAGAGCGTGGTCAGGGAATAACCCAGGAGGAGACTCTGGACAGAGGACTTGGTGGGATGTGAACAATTAGCAATATTCAAAATGCACATGGAAGGTCGCACTGTGGCTATGCCAACAGCAGGCAGGACAGTTCTCTGGGGCTTGGGGACTGACAATCATGGGTCACAAGTCTTGAATCTGGCAGCAGTTCAGCTGACAGACTGCAAATTGGCCCCTGCACTTGGAAGCTAGAGGAACAGTTTGGCAAGCAGAGCCTTAAAAGCTGCTGATGGCCCCTCCCCAGCTAGAAAAGCAAGAGCAAGGAATACAGACAACTGTGGCAGACAGTCACAGCCTCTGGGGCCCAGACCCTGGACAGCCTGTGGTCAAGAACTCTCTGGCTCCACTCCAGCTGTGGGTAGCTGTGAGTACCCAAGGGGAAAGGAACCATCCCACTCAGGCACCTGCTGTACTCATGGTTCCAAAGCTAATCTGGCCACATCTTCCTGCTCACTGACTCAGACTGCACTGAACATCTTTGAACTAATACAGAAGTTCCTACCATTTAGAATGGGCCAAAGCAAAAATGATACAGGGACAGACGTGAGTTCTGGAATGCTGGATCCCAACTCTATCTTAGGAATCATTTCCCCTTATCATTCAGACAGCTTTCTGAATGACTTCACCCTCAGTATTTTGTTCCTCCAAGCCCAGCAGCCTTGCAAGAATGCAGGGCCTGTTGCTCAGGACCCCTCACCTGGCCTGGATTCGGTCAGCATCCTCACCAAGCAGCACTGTCTTCTCAGCCTTTTTGCCACAAGCTTCCTCTTTGTCACTCATAGCTCAGCTTCCTCTCAGTCATATCTATTTCATTTCTTGATGATGCCCTGGAGAGGAGTTCTGCCCAGCCAAGGAGTAAATGCCACACTGCTGAGCCCTTTCTGTCAGCAGCCAGAAGGCTGGGAGCACTGGGATAGAAGGACTGTGTCCCCTGGGCACTGCCACCCAGGTCTAGGGCAGCACATTACTTTGAGATGGTACCCAGTGAGTTTGTGGTGAAGGAAGAGACTGTTACTATTTGGAATTCTTTGGGGGCTCTCTATGAGCTTCCAAATTCACTGAGGCCCAGGAGATAAGGCTTCCCATGGCTGAGTGCTGGGGAATGCTCCAGAAATTCTGGGGACTCTGGTGGACGCAGCTAATGACCTAGGTTATCTTATACCATGTGGGGGACCTGGAAGGCATGCCCTAGACAGTCCCTCCAGCATCCAGTTGGCTTCCTTCTAGAGGGTCTCATCTCTTAGTGGGGCTGGCTTTTGGTGCCCATCCCAGGTAACAGCAGCCCAGTGGCAGTGGTGTATTAACCCCAGCCCAGTGACAGTGTCCTATTAAGCTGGCTTTGCTGTCAGCATATGCTCCTTAAGGGAGTGGCTGTTCTGACTTTTTTCTGTGTCACTAGTCTCTCATGGAGCCTCCAGTGATAAGTGTCTCAACCTTCCTGTTGACCAGGTTGAAGGAATGTCACATTGCTTATGCAATAGGTCTTATGACATTCAACATGTGTACATACTTGTTTTCACACAGGTACTGTATAGATTGGCTTGCTTGTACTCATAAGCCCAGGTGCACAAGCATTCACACAGAACTCAGACAGGAACAGTCACACAGAGAAAGGCATTTGTTTTAAAATCTTGTTCCTGCTTTGAATATTGGTATCTCCCTTCTTTTTCAGCAGTTTGCAATCAGAACTGATCATAAATGACAAATTTCCCTTGCTGATTTGCAGCATCCTGTGGTTGATAAAGAAATTGCAGTGCCACGAGTTTTTTTTTCCAAAACATACAAGGAAGGCAAGCTCTGCACGGAGCATCTCTTAACACAGGTCAGGCAGAACTAATTTTCCCATGCAGTGCTCCTGGAAACTTGCGTTATTAATAGACATTTCCAGAGAACCTCACTCTGGAGCAAAGTGCTCAATTTCCATCTCCCAGGCGAAAGTGAGGGATTTTATGGGTTAGCTACTTTTGCCTTTGGGTTTAATTAACCAAAAAATATCATTAATACCTGATTTGGCAAGCATTGGGAGAGGTTTTTTTTTTTTTTTTTTTTTTTTTTTTTTTTTTAAAGCAGCATTTTCCCTTGCTTTGGAAGTAATTGTGATCTGACTGGTACAGCCCAGAAGATGACCAGGAGCTGAACAGAGAGGCAGGGGACAAGGTGAGAGGAATCCCAGGACAGAGCACTTCCCGCGCTCTGAATGCCCTTGAAGAGGAGAGAGTTCTAGAAAGGGAGGAGCACTCACATGCAGCGTGTGAAGGGCTTAGGCTGCTCATGGAAGTGAAGGAAGCAGAGATTCTGGGTGAGGCGATGATGCTGTAGATGCGGAGTCTGGTAGTACTGCTCAGAATCTGCCCGTCTTTGCTGTGGGGAAGCCAGGCAGGAATGAATTTTATCAGCGCTCTGGATTGACCAAATGTCTTCATCCTCCAAATGTCATGCGTGGAAGTTGTAACCCCCATGCAGGCCCCAAGGCCTCAGGATGTGACCACTGGAGACAGAACATTCAAAGAGGTGATGAGCAAACCAAGCCTTCTAGGTGAGCTCTAGTCCCAGGTGATAAGTATCCCCATGAGCAAAGGATACCAGGACAAAGGCACATGGAGGGATGACCATGCAGGACACAGGAAAAAGACAGTGTCCACAAGTTAAGGACAGGAGTTCAGGAGGGGTCAGCCCTAAGGACACTTTGGCTTCAGACTCTCAGCCTCCGGAACTTAGAAAATGAACTCTCAGCGTTGTGTGAGGGCAGCCCAAGCGGCCTCACACGCTGACTTGGGCTGAGTCCTGCTGCCTCACTAATTGGGGGGTATCTGACTACACCAGTTGCTCCCATAGAGACAGAATGAGTCCCTCATCCTTTGCAGCAATGGGTATAGAGCTTTACTTCAACATCTGGCACATGGCCTCTTTGGATAGGAGATTCTCTGAAGTGGGCTCCAGCCTCAGCAGGGACCAGGAGCTAGAGGACCCACTAATCCTGTGATATCCAGCCAGCTCTAGAGTCCCCAGGTCTTGCCTTCATCTGTGCATTATAGAGAAGTGAGTACAAGGGCCAAAGACAAGGGGTGACAGAAAACTGTTGGTGAGGAACCAGGCCCTTGCTTCTCTGCCTTGTCTTCTCTTTTCCTTTTTGTCCCCTCTTCCTCCTCATTACAAGGGAAACAGAAAGCAACAATTTTGCTAGACTTCTCTGGGCAGAAGCCAGACGTTTCCCTGCGATTGCTCTTGCCAGTCTGGCTCCGATGACCTATTTTACCTTTGGGTCACTTCACACCTAAACTATGAAAGGCTTTCTATAAAGACAGCATCAAGGACACGTTTGTGATTTCACTGCACCTCGCTGCCAAGAGAAGTGTTACCTGCTTGGCTCAGAAGGAGTCCTCCCTGCAGCTCCCAGTGGCTCCTCCATATTAGCTCCCAGCCAGGCTGATGTCCCCAGAGGGCCAATGACCTGATGATGTGCATCCCACCATCTAGCACTCTCAGGACTGAGACACCCTTCCAGACACTTACAGGCAGGTGACTGTCCTTGCCTGTCCACCAGCAGCAGCCCCACTGCAGGATGGTCTGATGCTTGTGGTAAAGGGCTTGAGGTGACCTTGAGCCCTTAGGACCTCAAGTGCTCAGGGTGGTCCTTTGGCTCGCAGTCCCTGTGCCTGTCTCCTGCTCTGATGTGCTGTCCTTGTTTCCACAGAGCAGCCTCCACAGCAAGGGTGGCCTGGGAGTGACGACACTCAGTGCGCTCTATGGTGCTGTCCTCTTGTCCTCCATGTTCCTCCCACCCATCCTCATCAAGAGGTTCGGCTGCAAGTGGACCATCACAGGTGCCATGGGCTGTTACGTGGCCTTCTCCCTAGGAAACTTCAAAGACAGCTGGTATGGCCCTCCCCTCCCTGCTTCCCAATTTGCTCCCAGTTGCCATGCATCCATCTGAGACTTCTGTCAAATTCTCTCTGCATCCTGGATTCCATGGTTTCCATGGCAGGTCTGATAAGCAGCATCCTTCCCAGTTTTTCACCTCAACTTCCACCTTCACCGCTGGCTCCCCTGTCTCCCGATTCTCACGCTGACTTCTTTGTGGGATCTGGCCTGGCCTCAGCTTTCCTCTGGGGAAAGGGTCTGGGTGTCTTCATGACCCTCAAGAACCCCAAAAGGTCTAAATTAGATTGAGGTGTGAATCTCAAGGAGTTGTAGGACTTGACAGATGGTAAAACTGATGACCATGGTGGGCAGGACAGATGTGCCCACACCAGCCTTCTTTCAGGTACACCCTAGTCCCTACCTCGGTGCTGCTGGGGCTGGGTGCGGCACCACTGTGGTCAGCGCAGTGCACCTACCTCACGATCCTGGGGAACTCGCAAGCGAGGAAGGCGGGCAAGCTTGGCAAGGATGTGGTGAACAAGTACTTCGGCATCTTCTTCTTCATCTTCCAGTCCTCGGGAGTGTGGGGCAACCTCATCTCCTCTTTGGTGTTTGAACAGACTCCACACAAAGGTAAAGGGAGCAGAGGGAGAGAGAGAGAGAGAGAGAGAGAGAGAGAGAGAGAGAAAGAGAGAGAGAGAGAGAGAGACACCTGTACCTTTGGGACTGTGTTAAGGATTTAAGCCAGGGTTGCAGGAAGCCAGGCCCTCAATTCTAAGGGATACCTTCACAGTGGAAAGGTTGAGTTGTTCTTTTTCTTCCTGGCTCTGCTCTGTGTCCTTCCAGGTAAAGCCCCACCTTCAAGACTTTGCAGTTGGACCCTCCTACCCTCTTTCATGCTGAATAGTTTTGCTTCACAATGATCCAAGTAGGATGTGCTGACCAGCATGTGCTGATCTTGCTTGTCCCATCAAACTCTGAATATTCTCTCTCTTGTGATGCCCTGCCTCTCTCCACGGCTGCAAACATGATTCTGACTTACAGCAGTTCAAACTTTATTCTTCTAATACACAAGGGAACTGGCATTCATTTTCAGAAAAGGTTTTATATCACCTGCCATAAGCTGTGGGATTGCTTTCAATTGAGTCTAGAAGAGAACCCAGTGTTCCTGGCACCTAATGCAATTCACCTTTTCTTTATGACTAATTTTGAAAGGTTGAAATTTTTTAGTTGTGTCAAAAGGCAGTATAATAGCTAACATTCAATCCCATGTTTATTCTCCTCTGAATCTTTTTAGAATGCGAACTTGATTCTTACCTCCCCAGACAGTCTAACAGTCAACCTTCAGTGTGTGCTTGGAATGAATGTGTCAAGATATTCAGGGTCACACTAACTTTTGCAACATCTTCCAGAGTCCTCCCTGTCCTCCACACTACTCCTTCTGATCCCAGATCCCCATATCCTATCACATGCCCTGTGTCCCACTTAGCTCATTTGTTTCAGGCTTCACAGAATTCCTCTTAGAGGATCAACTCATGTCCTGTGGGGCCAAAGACTGCCTGATGTCCACAGTGGCCACCAACACCACCACACAACCTTCGCAGAAGCTGATCTACACCTTGCTGGGCATCTACACAGGTATGTGCCTATAGCTTCCCCTCCTGGGCTGCAGAGGGCTGGCTCCATCCCTGATGAGCGTGCTCTCTTCATCTCTAGCCCCTGCTGGACTATAGAGCTGGGCCGTCCACAAGTGCTGTCTTTGGAAGCCAACTCGGTGGCTGTTTAACACAGAGACTTGTAACAGTGATGGCATTTCACATCTCTAGACCCCAGGACAGTTGCTTTTAAACTATTAAGTTAAAAATTCTGCTCTTAAGTCAGAAGCTAAACTTCAAGTGCTTGGGGACTACAAGTGGCTGCCATAACAGACATCACCCCAGAGGTCAGGGTATTAGTAGGTTTACTGTGTCCAAGTGACTGAAAATCCAGTCTCTGAAATTGCCTTTCTCTGAGGAAAGTATTTGAATGATTTTGGCCAAAGAATGGTAAGACCTGTGGCTGTCCATCCTTGGCTGTCATCCAGTAGCTGAAGGTATGCGCTTTGCAATTCTGTGAAAATAGGGTGGCCCAAAGGAACTTAATTGTCACAATGATTCATACTCTTAACGGTTCATTTTAATGAAAGAAACCTATGTTGATAGTTTTATGCAAGACTACTTATGTTCATAGATTCATTACTACTTTGAAGGGGATACATTTAGAGTATTTTTTTTAAAACTATCTCAAAAGATGTTAAGGTGTATTCTTTGTCATTTTGGGGTGCTGGAATTCATGAAGGCCTGGATATTTCTTCATGAACAGCAAAGGTCTGAAACTCTGAAACCTGTCATGTTGGATACAGTAGACCCAGCTCCGTGAGAGAAGCAGTCAGGAAGGCTGATATGTGTGCAGTGTTTTGTTTGCATGCTAGAACACAAGAATCCCAAGTACTCAGGTTCCTGTGCAGTCACCCCACATCAGAGGTACTAGGCATGCTCAGGAACAGTCTTTCTAGGCTCACAGAGAACACTGAGCCCTTGCTTGTACCTCTGAGCAATGGGCTAGGGCCCCTGTGGCCCCAGAAACAGGAACCGCAGAATCTTTCATGCCTTCAACTAGCTCAGAGTCCAAATGTGGAGGTAGAAATGCATTCAGCTAACCTAGGTGGTTCCTGAACTCTGGACAGATATCTCAGTTGAGGATGTACAGATGATACATAGGGAGGACAGAAAGCAATACAGGGCCTAGAAGCTAACAATGCAGAGGACATACATGTTTGTATCTTGTGCTGTTCCTCTAGAACTAGAGTAGACACTGGGGCCAAATCCTGGCCCCTGCTGGCCTTTGTAAATAAAGCTTTATGGGAACTCAACAGGGCTCATCCATTCACACAGTCTATGATTTCCTACTATAAAGATAACATGGAGCCATACCATGCCAAAGCCTGGCTGGCTCTCTTTTTCAACAAAAGTTTCCATCTCCATCTTTAAAGCACGATGGCTTCATGGTTAAGGATGCCTTTGTGGCTGCATTGCAAAGGGAATGGGGTGGGGAACATTGAGGTCAGGCTGACTCCTCCGCATCCCCATTGCCACATCCATGGAAACATGGGACCTGCTTGGAAAACACACAGATTTAGAGATAGCTAGAGGTCAACCACAGCCGCCTCCTCACTGTCTTCTGCTTGTGCCCCAAGCCACTCCTTTGAGACCTCATACACCACTCTACCAACCTACAGTGACTGGGTCACTCTTGGGTCCCCTTGCCTATGTTCTGTAGTATCCCAGGCCCATGGATACACGAGGTAAACTTTTATTCCTGAGGAACCCAGCAGGTTAACAGGAGAAATCTGGAGACACGGGTTAAGTCAGACCGTGCCAGTATAATATGGAGAAATACCTTATTCTGATTGTAGCTCCACTGGTGTATCTTATATGGCTCCTTCTTTTAAAGGCAATTTCATGTTTTCATAAAAAAAAAATCAAAATGGAAGAAAATGAATTGAAAGAACCATAATATTGCCACTCTGGAGCCATTTCCCAGAATTTCTGGACACTGAACTCAGAACTAAGTTTCTTACAGAATTCCTGTCCTCAGAGGAGTGTAGCAGTCATCACCCGGTTCATACCCCTGGAAGGTTCTGGATGACATGACACTTGGACACACATGTCATGATGATGGAGAGGTGTGGCTTCTGTAATCTCTCAAAGGCTCCCTCTCCTTGGCTTCCTGTCACAGGGATTGACCCTATTAGGTTGCTACAAATTTGTGAAGTCCCTATCCAAAGAACAAGGGTAAAATAAGGGTTGCCCATGCTAGTGGAGAAGACATGCTTTTCCCCTGGGATCTACATACAACCAACTCTTGGGTTGACACTGGAACAGTTAGAAGAACCTGCCATCCACTTGAGCCTGCAGTTATCTGTTCATTTGGTTGAAGGAAATAAGGGGAGACCTGAAAATGGCCACAGCAGGAACTGTTTAGGCCTCCTAGAATTTAGTGAGCCTCACTTAAATTCTACTTAAAATGAGTGTGAGTGTGTGTGTGTGTGTGTGTGTGTGTGTGTGTGTGTGTAGAGGGGTATGTTTAAAGCGGAAGTGGTTGAGTTTCTGAAAATAAAGCTTGGAAGTAGATGATCACATTTCTTGGTAGAAACACATTAATGAGAAGGTTTATGAGATGCCCCTGCACTGATTTTACCATTTTGCAAATTATCTGGACAAGAACTGGCTTTGTAAAAAAAATTACAGATTCAGGAAAACTCAGCCACTGTGGTAAATATAGAGCAAGTTGCCACAACATGATGGATGGTTCTGTAGAGACGTCTTGGTCACAGTTGGGAAAAGATAAAGTATGGTTAGCAAAAGGAGAGAGAAAATCAGTTGAATCTTCTTAAAAAGTGGAATCAAGTCATTGAGAACCATTCTGTGAGACTCTGAGCAGGGTGAGGAGAAGAGGACAAGACCCAAAGTGACTAGAGATTCTATAATACCCAAAGCAAGGTGACCATTGCTGCCAGAGAGGAGAGAAACAGAAGTTGAAAGGCAGCACGAAAGGCACTTAGAAGCTATTGGACAACAAAAAGTGAAACACCTACATAAACATCAGTTCTCCCTGTACAGAAACCAAGATGGGTCAGGTAATAAAGTCAGTAGATGGTGAAGATGGAGATTTGGTCATTACATTTTAGAATTATGGTAGTAAAGAACAGGATGAACAAGGTGAGTATATATATATATATATATATATTGCATATATATGTATATACACTGTATATTGTACATATATACATTTTATATATATACAATATGTAGTGTATATATATATACATATATACAGTATACTATATATATATATATTGTATATATAAACTATATATATTCACCTTGTTCATCCTGATCTTTACTGATGCACATATGGACAAGCCTCTATGCCCCACCTTGTTAAGAGCAAATGGTGGCACCTTGTTGCTCTTTGTTCTTTTATTACTTCCTTTAAGGGATGTGAACCATCTTAGGACATAAAGGACATTTGTCTTTATTTTTTTCCAGGTGTACAATATTCTACTACTGTTAGGATATACCCAACTGATGTACCAGTTCCTACTGAAGGACAGTAGACAAATAGATCTAGGATAAATAAAAAGCATAGCAAATGGTACCTATGTGGAACTCATTACCAAAAGAAAGAAACAAGGATGAGGGAGGAAAGGATAAAGGAAAGGAATAGGAAAAAGAAAAAGAAAAGGAAAGGAAAGGAGAGGAAGGGAAAGGAAAGGAAAGGAAAGGAAAGGAAAAAGGGAGAAAAAAGAATGACTGCTTGTTGGTAGAAATTGCTTCAAAGAATAGGAAAAGAGACCGAGAGGCAGTGGCCAAGGATACTGAGTGCCACTGGGGTCTCTTGTGCTGTTGAAAGCAACATTGGCCTCCTGTAGCCCATGAGAACCTCGAGGTCAGAGTTAATAGCAGGACACATGTAGGATCAATGAATGTGACTTGCTATTTGAGGTCAAAGGCTGCAGACAAACATGCTGGGACTCACATGATCTTAGTCTGGCACGAGGAAGGGACTGGGACAAATCAGCGAGGCCCCTGCTAGCACTGGAGCTTCTGCCTCTGTGTTTCCTGCAGGGAGTGGTGTGCTGGCAATCCTGCTCATAGCCATGTTCCTTGAGCCCATAGATGACAACCCACCAAACAGTGAAGGAGAGAAGTCACCGCCATTCTGGTCCACTCTACTGTCAACCTTCATGCTGCTCAGAGACAAACGTCTGTGTCTGCTGATTCTGCTGCCACTATACAGTGGATTGCAACAAGGATTCATCTCTGGGGAATACACAAGGGTGAGCGAGAAGCAGAAATTAGTGGCTTATGCAATATACCGTATGGTTTCTGTACCTCCTGTACCTACACCCAGGTGTCTGAGGGCTGCCTACCTATCCCTGGGCCAGCTGGTGGGAAAGGCTCCACGTTCCCAGTTTTCAGTGGCTGAGTCTGTCATCTGAGAAGTCAGCATCCGAGTGCCTCCTAGGAGCCCCATGACTTCTCATCTTATATTTGGTGGCATCTTCCTGAGAAAGGGTACAGTGAAGAATGGGGCAGCTGTCATCGGTTCACTGCTTGTGGCACCCATTGTCTTCTGCAGAACAATCTCTCCTTGCATTCTTATTGCAGTTAAAAACATGGGGGACATTAAATCCATGGATGACACTGACACTTGTTTCTACTCTGTTTTTCAAGTTACATGTTACAGTCTAGAAATCTAAAAAGGCTTCCAGGCATCAGCCCCTGTCCACTCTGACACTTTGTCCCCTGATGGTTGCCTTGCCCATGTACTGCCCAACCTCATTGGTACAGCAACAAGCTGTCTTTTGTCTGAGGAGAATGAATTCATGGGAACATGATGGTCATTACTCAGGAGCTGTACAGTCATAACTCCCTGGCAAGCTTCCCTCATAGGCCTGTCCCTGGCCTCTGTTTCCCCAGCTGATGATCAAGATAGAATCTGTTCAAAGGAGCCTCAGTGCTATGGACCACTGGCCTGGGGGCCTCAACCCTCTGCTCCCAGTTCTTAGCATGTATGAGACAACTTTGAAGCAGCCACAGAACCAGGTCTAGTCTAGACAAACCACCTGTGTCCCCCCAGCCCTGGGTCTTGTTCCCTCCCTCCCTTACAAAAGAAACTTTCGGCCACATTCCATCCACTCCCAGGTAGAGCTGCCAACTTAGCATAATAAAAGGTGGGCTGCCAAGCCTAATTCAAATTTCAGATCAAGTACAAGTATCATTTGTAATAAGTGTGCCGTGTGCCATATTTTGGTGTCCTGGATTTCATTTGGTAATGTTACTCATAAGACAGAATTGACAGTCTTGAGGATTGACTGAAGTCTGGAAGGTGTTTTAGACACCTCCTTCCACCAGACAGGTCTTGTGTCTCCTGCTGCAGCCAACTTTCCAAACTTGGTCAGCTTCCTGCTCCTCACCCTTATTCTGGGGTCTGCCTCACTTTTGCTGGATGGTGGACACCCACCTGGCACTGAGGCTTCTGGGAATTTCTGTGACTGTCACAGTACATTCATTGCCTTCTCAACTCTGATGGAGTTCATTCTAAATCCATCTTATTTTAACTGTCTTTATCCTAGGAAATGAGATACCCATCAAGAAAACCACCTTGAGGCGTGTCCACTGAAATGAGTGAAGAGAAATTGCTTGGGGTTCATCTAAAATGTATAATATTGTTAATTTACAGTACCAAAACTTCATTTCTTTGTGTGTGGTACTGAGATTGAACCTAGAGTCTTTGTACCGAACTACATTCCCCAGGCTTTTTTATTTTTTGAGACAGAATTTCACTAAATAGCTATATTGCCCAGGCTGGACTGGAACTTGCAATTCCCCTGTCTCTGTCTCCCAGAATGCTGTGATTCTGGATGATCATGTAATCCTCATTTTTTAAAAAAAATTATATCACAAGTGCACCCATCCCATCTGTGTTATACAAATAAATAATGCACTTATCACAACATAGGGAAAAGAATACATGGAGAATTTTGACCAGATATCTGTCCCAATTGTGTCATTTCTATTCTGACTCCAAAGAGTGTGTCCCTGCAAATATCAGCAGCATTGTTGTCCTGGGGCTGGGGGCTTCAGGGCCAGACAAAGGCTGCAGACCAAACCATGGGCCAGCTGTCACATGGTTCATTTCCTGATGCACCAAACGGCAGCTTCAGACTTGAGCCCCAGTGAGGACAGTGCACCACTAACACACACATGCTTCTCCCCAGTCCTATGTCACCTGCGCCCTGGGAATCCAGTTTGTGGGTTACGTGATGATCTGCTTCTCAGCTGCCTCCTCATCGTGTTCTCTGCTGTATGGAAAGATCTCCCAGTACACAGGCCGGGCTGTGCTCTACGCGCTGGGTAGGTAGGTGGTGCCCACTTGGTTGGCAGGACAGGTTCTGCTGTCAGAAGGCAGCAGGGCCCAGATGAGGTGCCAAAAGCCCTTCCAGTTAACTCTCTGGGGACCTTGGGCCTGGGTGGGGGAAGAGTGCAGAGTTAGCTGACTGCACACTTACCTGTGCCTACTCACAGATAAATGACAGTGTCGCACCTGAGTCATCCCCTTATGCAAGCAGGAAGCAAATGAGCAAAAGATAGTTTCTCCCAGCTGGGTGTTTGAGGTAGGGTGACTGTCACTGTTCACTGTCCCTCTTCCTCCTCCTGGCCCAGGCACAGTGACACATCTTTCCTGCATTGTCAGCCTCCTGCTGTGGCAGCCACGCACAGCCCAGATGGCTGTGTTCTTCATCCTCCCTGGCCTGTGGGGTGTGGCAGATGCTGTGTGGCAGACGCAGAACAGCGGTGAGTGCCCAGCACCAGGGGTGGAGGGAGGTGAGCAGGCAGCCACCAATGTGGACCCTGCCTTGGCTGGCTGATCACATATCAGAGGCTGAGGTGCAGAGGCGGGAAGTGGGCAGATCAATGCTGCATGGGAAGCAAATGTCCCAAGGGCTCCTGATGCATGATGCAGAGGGGCAGCGTGTTCCTTGGGTCAGCCAGAGGCCCAAACTGGACCTATCTGTATTCATTCATCTGCCGGTTATCAAGGGAACACAAAAAACCCATAAAAATGGAAAAATGAATTTATTTACAATATAACCAAATTGGGGAAGGGAGCTACTACTCCATCCCTCTCAAAAGAGGCGTAGTGGCAACTCACAGGAGTGGCAGAAAAAAAAGCCAGGAATCATGCAGCACAGATTCAGCCCAGATCTGACCCAGCAAATGTCGAAAATCTATTTCTCTTGGCACCTCCTGGAGTCAGAGCTAAATGATAATCTCATTCCCCATAAGAGAAGGCCAGACAACACTTTCCAGCTCTAAACATCGCAATCTTTAAAGGTCCATTGCAACTCTTGGTTTTCACTTGGGGAGGAGGACATCTGTGCAGCTCTGAACCGAGAAGGAATAGGATTCACAGAGTAGAAGATAGGCCATCCCCTGTCCTCTGGGACAAGAAGTCACTGGAGAGGGTGACAGGACATGGTGGGGGCACTGTGGGAACAAAAGTCAGTGCTTCTGGTGCTGAAGCAAGACAGTTGGATTCCAAAGCGAAGGTGGCAAAGCCAGGCACTGCCCATGATGGAGCTGTCTGGAGGGAGTGAGGCCCCTTGAGCTGATTTTGAGGATCAGTTAGATGAGAAGAAGTTGAAATTACCATGATAATGTCAGGAGTCCCATGCTAGAGTTGTAACCCACTGATGTGGCACCAGGAAGGCAAGGGAGACCTGTAACAAGCGTGGTTGGAGTACAGGAAGGGGGATGTGTAGGAAATGCTGTCATTTCTAGACCTGAGGAACCTGCTAGGACCAAAATAGAGTTGGAGGATGACAGTGCGACAATTTGTGGTGGCTACTTGGCTGTTGTCTACAATGACAATAGCTTATACTTGAGGGAGAGCACTGGGGTAGCAGGAAGTGGGCATCATGTGGCAGCTGTGGAAGACAGGTGTCAGGGATGTGCATTTGGATACTTGTTGAAAATGACATGGTAAGGAAACCCTTAGCTCTGAGTTTCCCACAGGTTCCATTTAGACCTCAAAGGTGTCTCAGGACTAGGCAGGCAAATGCTCCATACCTCGCAGGTCTTTGTGGGACAGGGTTGGGAATATTTATGGGCTTTCAGGGTTCCCCTCGGGGTGGATGTGGCTCATAAGAGACCCTCTTCCCTGACACAGCATCACTGTGTCTTTACCCAGGAAACACTTAGTGATTTGAAATTGAAAAAAGAAAATCCACAAACTGGATACATGACGTTGTCACAAACAATGGGTGACATTATTGCTTTCCCTATACTCCAGCATTAAAAAAGTATGTATTAGTTCATAGATCATGGGCTAAATTTCCTGGGACACTTTCTTGCTTACAATCCTAATGTGCTACCTATTTATAATACAGCTGAAAACAGTGTCTTTAAACTGACCTAATATTGGCTTTAAGAGTTTTGGGTTTCACAATCTTTTCTACCACTTCAGTAACTCAGGTGGCTTTAGCCAAGATTGTACCAAAATGATGAGTGTGTGTTTGTCTGGGTGCTGTCATCTGTTTTACTTGGATCAAAACTGATAGCCTGGAAAAAGGAGACTGGAAATATTCATAGGCGAGGCTGCAATACTGTTTAAGGGAGAGATGACCAGAAACTCGCTTTAGCTCTTCCTTAGTCCAGAATTCTAGGTTACTGGCACAATGTATCACCTAGGAGTCACACACATTTACCTAATAAGTCATCACCTAGGAGTCACACACAATTTTACCTAATAAGTCAGAGAGGATTGATTTCAACAACCCATGTAGATCTGAGATACCAGGTATTTTGGTGAACCACAATCAGTGATATAAACTGACTTCTCTGAACTCATTTGAAATATTCAAAGTATTTTTAAAAGTAAAGAAAGAAATTGGGATAAACAGTCCCATAATGCCTCAAAATAATTTCCTAGATATTTAAAATTATTACAGTAAAAAAATCATTTTATTTCTCCCTGAGATATGAATAATTGCTTTAACTCTCTCCTTTTATAGGAATAAAATATTCTAAAGTAAAGAAATCCTTTGTTAACATTTTAAAAGTTAAAGTCCAATTTAAAAATTAGTATTTAAGCCTGATGAACTACTTCAACAAAGAATCCCTTGAATAAAGAATAAGGAATGCTAATCTAAAAAGAAATTATTTATGGTTTTCTCCTGTACAGGTAAAAGTAAAAACTTTTCAAAGATTTAAAAACAACCATAAGCAAAAAAGATGATGTTCATACATCGGAGACTTTTGGAGTGAATGTCTGTCTTAGTAAAAGTGGTGTTGAATCTCCCAGGCTGGCTATACTGCTGTCTTAGAATTCACACCTTGAACCCCAGGTCATCAGTAAGGTCTCTGTGCTTTATTTTAAAAAAAAACTGGAAATTCTGCATAGCTTTGGCTATGTCTCAAAAAGAATGCTCTCTTCTAGCCCTCTGCTATGTGTCAGAGAGCATATGAAAGGCCAATGACCCTGGTGGTTAGGAGAACTTACCAGCAGTCACAATATAGAAAAGACAAGAGTTTATTTAGATCAGAGGACACTGTTAAGAAGGGCCATCAGAGAATTTCCAAGAGCAGTGCAGTTAGGGTGCAGATTTGTATCTGTATAAAGAGTAGGGCATGGGGAAAGAGGTCTGAGTAGCAGACCTAGATATCTCAGGAATGTTTCCTCCAGGAAGCCTGGGTTCTGCTGACCCTTTAGGAGCACCTTTATTGTTTCCAAAGTTGTACATTGAAGTTGCAAACTGTCAAGGTCTCTCTCTTGGTTCAGACACAAAAGGTCCTTCAGACTTAGATAAAGCTATCTGTATGCTTTAACTCTGGGAAAGATGGGGCATTAACTCACTGGAAGGAAAGATCGAGTGGTTTGCTTTTGTTGTTATCTTGTGCTGTTTGTAGTCAGCATTAATGTGATACCTAATGACTGCCAGTGTGTACTGGGCAAGATTGTGTCAGCAGAGAAATTTGAATACTAAGCATTTTAACCTCTGCGACAACACCCTCTGCTTCCTGAATGTGTGTTCTTCTTTAAGAAAATGCGACTACATACTTTACTATTGAAGAGAATCAAAACACCTTGGAGGAGAGTGACCCTCCCTTTTAGTCATTGCCCTTGATGTGAACGCAGGGGGTCGACTGCACATGTGCCTCTCCCTCCTGAGGCAGGGCTGTAATGTCACCGCTTAATGCTCCCCTCTCCCTAGGGACTCTGCAGCAGCAGATATGTGCAGAAGATACAACTGTATTCATCTGCTCATTCACTCTGCAGCTTACTGAGGATGGGCACGGTCTCCATGGCAACCCTCACACACCAATGTACTGCATTTAACATTCAGAATGTCTGGTCTAAAAATAGCTCTGGCTGTGAGCTGCTGAAAAGCCTTGGTGGGCTCATAAGCACAGAAAGTCTGACCTTTCCTGAGTGTCCCTTTACTTAGCCCGTTTTTCACAACCAGACCTACCAGCCTGTTCCCCAAAGTGCCCTTACTCAAGGACTGAAATCAGTACCCAGTGGTCACTTCCACCCTGTGCTCCCTTACAGAATGAAGCAGGTGGGGGAGACTGAGAAAAAGGCTGTTTCTTTTTTCAAATAGTGTTTTAGCTTGGAATTATCTTAGCTTTACAGAAGGTTTCAGGGATAAAGTCCCATAAAGCCCTTGCTCTATCCCTCAGTACCAAGAATAATCTCCTGCTCCTCCTCCTCCTCCTCCTCCTCCTCCTTCTTCTTCTTCTTCCTTTTTATTTATTTATTTATTTATTTATTTATTTGTACTGGGGGGTTGAACTCAGGACTTTGTGCTTTCCGGGCAGGTATTTATGCCACTGAGCTATATCCCCAGACCAAAACCAAGAATCTCATACAAGTAGGGACCTCTAAGGTGCCAGAATGTCTGCAATGGCAGCCCAGGGGTCAAGCATGGTCTTGGTGAGGAGAGAAGGGGTGATGGGAGAAGGAGCCAGCCATGGACCAAGGATGCTGGGATTCCTTGGGAATGGACAATCATCTTCCTAGGGCCAAATGTACCTGCTGCTCTATCAATGTCATGGAGATGGGATTCCTGAAGCCCTCTTCTAGGTGTATCAAAAATGTTACCACCCTGCAACGAGAAGCAAAAAGTGATTTGCTTTTATCTAGATGAATTCATCAGACTGTATGAGTTCACTGGAGCTGCCAAACAAATATTACAGCCTAGGAAATTTAAACACCATGTACTATCTCACAGTCTGGAGACTGGGTGTCTGAAATCAAGGGACTAGCCAGATTAACTTGTTCTGAGCCACTCTCCTTGGCTTAGGGATCTTTTCCTGCATCTTTGCACAGTACTCCCTCTGTAAGTTCTCATCCTCACCACATATAATACCACTTATGTCAAATTTGGGCCATGCTTAATTTAATGAGTTCTCCAAAGAACCTGTAAGTCCAAATCTGCTAGATTCAAGGCAGGGTGGCTCATGGCAGAAGACAAAAACTCATGGTGGTAGAAAAGAGAAAAAACAATAACAAAAGGGGTAGGAGAGAAAGATAAAAAAAAACTCTTTCTATCCTTATATTATATTATATTATATTATATTATATTATATGTAGACTACCCATCCTACAACATTTACACCCATAATCTCAGCATTAGACAATGAATCAATCACAAACACTAGATTTAGCCACTTCTGAAAATTGACCCCACCATGACTGCATGAGGCTTTGAGGGGCCATCCAGACACAAACCATAACACAGAACTTCACTGTAGGAATTGAAGATGGAGCAGAGAAATAGTAGTATGACTCAGATCATCATTTAGCCTCAGATCATTTTCTCTCCCAGACTTTCAGACAACTTCCTGAGAGGTCTATAATATCTGTCTTTTAATACCAGTTTGCTCAGTTTTGTAAAAAGCCAGTTTAATCAGTACTAGTGCTGTAAGTCTAGTTTAATCAGTACTAATCTTACAAGACTAGGTTAATCAGTACCAGTTCTGTGAAGCCAGTTTAATCAGCACTAGTCCTGGTTATACTATAGCTGTTATAGCTTGTATCTAGATGTCATCCGAAAGCCTCATGTATTCATAGGTAGGTTTTTGGGGAAGTGGATTAAGGCTATGTGAATATGGATTAAGAGTGTAATACACTAATTGGCTTAGCATAGTTCTGGTTATGGACTATTGGAAGACCCACGCTGGGTGTGGATGGCACCACACAAAAGATTATATCCTGCATGGGATAAAAGGAAAGAAGAGGCTTGCTGCTGCTTGCTGCTTCCTGCCTTCCCTGCTGTGGATCATCTGTCCTCTGCAGTGCCCCTCTGCTATGCCATCCTGCCTGGGAGCCAGCTGACTATAGATTGAAACCTCTACAAATTCTGAGTTGAAATGAACTTTTCCTTCTTTAACTTGTAGGTGTCTGTATATCTCAGCAACAAGAACAGTAACTAAGACATTATCAATCCTGTTAGAACAATTTAATCAATCCTAGTCCTGTAAAGACACTTTAATTGCTACTACTCCTATAAAGACAATTTAGTCAATACCGATCCTTTCTCTGAGTCAAATGTAGGAGGGATTTGACCTTGGAATCCAACTTGGTTGAATTATTTTGCTCTTAAGGTCTCAGGATGACCTTCTAAATGCATGCAATTACTATGTGTTAATTAAGAATGAAAATATTTTTAAAATTGAAATAAATAAAAATTTAAAAACCACATTTAAGACACTAAAGAAAAAAATAAATTCTCAAGATAGGAACAAAAGTCCTAGACACCAGCAATAGCCTTGCCCTTTGGCTATCTGAACATACATTGGGGTCTCTTACCTGATGAGACACTGTACATGTTTCTGTGACTGCCCCTAAATGGGAAAATAAATATCCCCAACAGCTGTCACTGTCTCATGTCTTTGTTCATGGCTCTGGAGAGTGGCTATGCTCCAACTTATGCAAACTGCATCTCTTTGTTTCTCTCATCAGCACAGGTAGAGGTCTCTTCGCTGCTGATAGTTCTTAAAAGCCATTTCTGCTCCAAAGGATGGCATGTAATTGCTGCCCTCTGAAACATAAAATAATTCTATGCTTTTTCTAGTTCTGGGGATGAAACCCAGGGCCTTGACACTGAGCTATACCCTTATTATTATTTTTTTCCTGAGACACTCTGTCTCTCTAAATTGCACAGACTGGGCTCAAACTCTCGTTCCTTCAAACTTGACCTCCCAGAGTACCAAGATTACAGGTATATGCTACCATACCATACTTAATTCTGTGCTTATTAAAGTGCAAAATGTTTAGTTTTGTTGCGAAAAATAGTGTCAATGCTACACCTTGTTCAGCAATAACAATTTAGCAGGTCATGCTTGAGTATGCTTTGTGTAACATTCTCCTGCTGGTCTCTCCTCTGCAGTGATCTACGGGGTTCTGTTTGAGAAGAACAAGGAAGCAGCCTTTGCCAACTACCGCCTCTGGGAAGCCCTGGGGTTTGTCATCGCCTTTGGGTACAGCACCTTTTTATGTGTCAGCACCAAGCTCTACATTCTGGCAGCAGTCCTGATTCTGACCATGGTGGCTTATGGAATTGTGGAATATCTGGAATCCAAGAGCCACTCCCAGATCTCTGTTGCAGGAGGCAGAAGCCAAGTAAATGAAGGAGAAAGTCAAACAAATGTGAAAGAGATTCGCATTGTAGCTGAAGACCTTAGAAAATATTAGCAAAGGGGTTTTATTTTAATATGTGTCAGGTATATACTTGCTTCTTCACAGGTATTTCAGCAAGATAGTATATTTTACTTTTTCTGTAACTTTTTTCTACTCTATAAATTTTCAGTTGACTATTCTTATCAATAGACATCAAGAGTATACATAAAAATATTAATTTAATTTCAGATGTGAAAGAAACATATGGATATTTGCCTGGAAGCACCTTGTTATTATTTGCTTTTAAGAATTGGAAAGATCATATAAAATAATGTAGTCTAACATAGTAATTTGACAGAGGGATAAAAAATTTAAGCTTTTAACACTATAAATTTTTCTTATATCATAAATTTTACTAATAGATCTAGACAAGTAAAGTTAACAAAGTCACAAAGCCAGAAGAGAGACTTCTGTAACTTACCATGTGTTTCTAAGGAAATGCAATTATGGACTCATTTCCTGGACAAATCCTGTTATCCGAAAGACAATCATAGATCACATAACACACATATCATCAGGTAGCTGGCATGGTGATGCTCATATATAATCCTGGCATTGAGGGAAACTGAAGTCCAATCTTGCCCAGCCAGGTCAACTCAACAAATTAGTGACACCTTGTCTCACAATAAAAAAGAGTTGTAGGGGCTAGGGATTTGGCTCAGTGGCATAAGTGCCTGCCTTGATGCATAGTCGTGAGTTTGATCCCCAGTAGCACAAAAAAACCTGGAGACAGGTCAGTGAGAAGACCCTGAATTAATTTGAAAAAACATTAGTATGTAACTTAGCATGTTATAGACCCTCCGAAGTTATCAAGAATAATTTAATATGCAATATGTTATATTTTTTATTAAGATGAAAAACTGGACATATGTCACATGTCACATTCCCATCTACATTCCTTGGCAGGGTTGTTGTCATCCCAAACAGTCCTTTCTCATCCTTTATCTTCCTGGATAAAGGAAGTAATGCTCTCCACACTTCCTCTTCCCAGCCTGTCTTCTTCTGTCCTGGAACTCTGATCTCTGGGCCTTGATACCTCTGGCCAGTCCCTCTCTCCAATGTGTCCTTCCCTCTTCCTCCTTAGGTTGTGCTCCCAATTCTCCTTCCTCTTGTGTAAAGGAAGCCTTCCCTGCTGGACCTTATGATAATCACACTTGGGGCAGCATCTACCCCAGCTGGAACCTGAGCTTTCTGTTATATCATCTGGGCAGCTGCCAATGTTAGTTGAGAGAATAAAAGATATCAGTAGTTCAAGGAGTTATTAGCCCTTTCCCATCTCTCCACGAAGTCTCAGCCAAGCTCCCCTCTGTTCACTCACACATTCATTCACTGCTTTCCTACAATGGATGCTGGTTTCTGTCTGGAGACTCAGTGGTGAGCTGACTTAGGCACAGACGTTCCTTCAGCCACAGTCAGCCAAGATAGGGGACAGGCAGGGGTTAAAAAAAAATGTAACATTGCAGCATTCACAAGGCAATGTCTTGAGGCTTCCTAAGTCACTTGTTCTAGGCTGAGCTTGGCATGTTTCTTGCTTACAGAGTTCTCCAGCAACGCTCGGTGTCTATGATGCCCACATCCCCCCTCTTGTCACTTAGGCTCACCTGTGCTTGCTTTGTCCACCTGCCCATTGTTCCAGGAACACATCCTGGGATTCTGTTCTCTGCCTGCGGAGTTCTGCTCCCTCTGCCACCTTTTCCCAGCAGAGGCTCTTCCTCTGCCACCTGAGATACTTAGCAAGAGGCTTTTGTTAAAGCCAAGAACAGCCACTTTGCTCCTGCAGCTTGGGCCCTTTGAGGGCCTCCCCTGAAGAGCACACTCAGGCCCTGACTGCGATGTTCCAGGCCTCTCATGATTCAGCCACAGTTGCCTCCTTATGCCAGTTTTGGCCCAACTGTACTCTCCAGTATTTCTCTTAGACTACTGACTCTTTTCCTCACTGGTCCTTGGCTCCTGCCACTTTCTTGTCTGTATCCAAATCATTGTAGTCTCTCAGGCAAAAATGAAGCACCATAATTTCCAGTGACGGGTACCCATGAGGTACACATCACTTCTCGCAGCCTTCAGTGACCTACTTCACCGACTGGGATCATCCTGTTCCCTAACTTTGACGGCACTTTGTGTCCCTGCACCTTACAGGCTGCTTACAGTTGTCCATATGAGATCCTGACTGTCCTCACACTCCCACAAAATGCAGCTGGGGTCATTTCTAAAGGAGTCAGAGCTTGGGAAATATTTTCACAGGAGCTGTGTTTGTTACTTTTCTCATTACTAAGGCAAAATATGCAACATTCAAAGTTAAAAGAGGTAAAGTATATTTCAATTCACAGTTTGTAGAGGTGTCTGTACATAATTGGCTGGTTCCAAGGCAGGGTGGCATGGCAGAGGGGCATCACAGAGGACAAACAGTCCACAGTAAGGCAGGCAGGTAACAACAAACAGCAGAGGAAAGCCTGCCTCCTTTCTGTTCCTTTATATTTCATCCAGGCTAAAAGCCTATTGATTGGTACCACCCATGCACAGGGCAGGGGCTTCCATTATTCACACCCTTGATCCCATTACATTAATACACACTCATCCAGCCACCTTTGAAACTTCCCACCTATGACCACATAAGGCTTTGGGGGACATCTAGATACAAGCCACAATAGAGGCCCTTCACAATAAAGGACAAATGACATGCAACGTCCCCTCCAACTCAGAGGTTAAGATTTGTAAGTGATGTGCTCCTGGATGCCAGTGGTATAAGAGGAACCCCAACTCTCTTACCCCCACTCTGCTCTGGTGTGAGAGGGTGGAGCAACCTCTCATCCAGTCACTTTCACGTTCCTGGTAGTACTTTACAGGACAGCATGGAAACAATGGGCCAGACTGGCCCCGGAGGCATGGGAAAGAGCTGGGAGGGGAGTCAGGAAGTTTGTATATAAGCTGGGGAGACTGCAAAGAGGTGTGTGCAAAGTAGCCTTGGGTCCTGGGCTTCAGAACCCAGACAGAAGGGCTGAACCAACTCTGATTTTTAGTTCACTTTTTTAGAAGAAGGCTAAACAGAGCCTAAGTTACACCAACATTACTGGATGCTCTATGTGGCTTGTGCTCAGACATCTGAGTAAGCCAAATGGATGAAATGAGCTGGCATACAGGGGAGGCTGAGAGTGGTCAGCTCTGGTGCTGGACATACTTCATCCCCCCAGTAACTAGAAGATATGGAGAGAACACTGGCCCAAGCCTGCCACATGTGAGGCTTTGCATTCACTCCTTAGTGTGGGAGACAGCTCCAGTGACTCCCTTTGAATCCGAAACAATTGCCGTGACTTTGATTACTTGGAGTCTCATTTCCTTATACTGATATGTAAAAGGCTGGGTAGGGTATTTCCTTCTCTCTTCAATTGGCTCTTAGCATTGCAAATAAGGCTAGCTGAGGTGCTCATATACAAAGTGTATAGCCATCAAACAGTCCTGTTTTCTTGCATAGTGCAGAACACAATGCAGGGTTGAGCATGCGAGATGTTAGAGCAAATAGCTCTGGGAATGTCAACGGGGTACAGCTTCAAGATAAGAGGCTATGACTCCCCAGGGCACAAGAGTTTGCATATCAGAAACCTAAGCAATAGTCCCCCAAAACAATTCCACTGCTACCTTAAGTGGGTTATATACATTGATCCTTCTACATATCTTTATCTCTGCAAATTACAGAAATGCCATCCTTTCACCTGGCCAGCCAGCTCAAGTTACTCAATAATTCATCCCTGAGCCACCCGCCTTTCTTCACAAGATAATAAATGCTGGGAGAGGCCTAGGAGCCAGGCCTTTGTCCCCACGTCCTCACAAGGATTGGACTTAGGACCTCTTGGCTGCCCTTAACTTGAAATATGCCTTTGTGTCTTACTCTCGCTGTGGATTGCACTGATGATGGTAGATTGGAATTAACCTGCTGGGATTCCAATAACATCTCAATGGGATTACAAATATAACCTCCTGGATTGTGAGGAGAACTAGAAAGAGGATTACAATACTTGGATGACTGAACTTGATATTTGGGTTTACAGTACTTAGTACCACAAAAAAGGATGATACTAAAATGTAAAACGATTTTCACATGGTTCTTAACCCAGGTACAAGGACCAAACACAGTGGACACTGTCTTTGATGACTGTTTTTGTGCATTTTTATGGCAGCTTAAAAGCCAATCTTGGATTCCAGCCACGGGCTCACCACTGGCCATGATTCTGGGGTTGTGCTCATGTAGGCTCCTACAGAAGAGCAGCTCCTGTGTGTGTTACTTGGACTATTTTCTGCCCCATCTTCTAGGAGGCTGAGTTCTCCTACTCCACAGCCTGAGCCAATGGCCTTCACAGAGCTAGCTCCTACCTGCCTCTATTTGTACAGTGAGATGAAGTGCTTGAGCTATTTTACCCTACTGAAGGAGATGGCAACAAAATAATATAAAATGAGTTTTAAAGGACTGTATTATTTTTCCATTGCTGGGACAGAGTACCTGACACAATTTAAAGAAGAAATATTTTATTGTGTGTCCTTTTGAGACAAGGTCTCACTATGTAGTTCAGGCTGGCCTTGAGCTCACTTTGTAGCCCAGGGTGATTTTGAACTCAGACACACCCTCCCCGTCATGCTCCAGTGACGTACCTCCAACCAAGTCCCATCTACTAATGGCACATTCAGTTAGGAACTCATCAACGGATTAAAATCCACTGGCGAGGTTTATGCCCCATGGTTCAATCACCTAAAAGCCCCATCTCCAATCACGTGAGGGGATATTGTAGATCCAAACCATAATATGGATTAAGGTATTTCAGAAGATTTCCTAGTCTCACGACCAAGCCAAAGACATTCCTTTTTTTCCCCAATGCTATTTCGAGGCCCAAGTTCCTTTTTTGTTGCTAGGCCCCAACCGCCCTCCTACTGGAATGTTTTCTGTCCACCTTCTCCCAAGCCCCAGTGGGCAGATCACACAGTTGGAAGAAAAGCTGAGTCCAGAGTTGGAAGAAATTTTCCTCTTGCTTTTCTTTTTCTATCTCCTCCCTCTGGAATTAGCGTCTTGGAAGGGTCAAAGAATCCTGAAAGAACCATAGTTGCTATGGAATGTGAACCTGAGAAGGTGGTTCTCCAAGGGCTGGCCACACACTTGTGTCCCTTAAGGTCCTGCCGTGTCAGCTCCAGAGAAAGAACGAAGGCTGTTTACAAGTTTGCCCTGAAGGGTAAGGGTGATCACAGCAGCATCAAGCAGTGAATGCTGGGAACAATGTTCTGCTGGGGAGGAGCGAGCCCCAAGCTTATGTCACCTTGTGTTTTAAAAGCAAGCACTGACATTGAGAGTCATCACCACAGAGACGTAGGACACAGTATGGAAAGTGACCAGGTCTGCACGATGAGGTGGGGGAATGTGGGGCTCTGAGGTTGGCATTCTCGGATCTCACACACTTGGTGTGGGGCAGAAAAAATTGAGAAGTGAAAACCTGAGAGACAAGAACATTCCACTGACAGTGCTCTGAGATGAACAGAGCAGCTGCAGCGTTTGGCCTGACAAGGACTGAAGAGAGATCATCAGTTTGGCAAAGAGCACACCATTGGCACTGGTGGCCAACACAGCTTGGTGAAGCTTTGGGAATGAAGACCTGAACCAAGAGGCTCAAGGCTAGGAAAGAATGTAGATGGTGAGGTTTTCTAGCCCTTCCAGGAGGGCTTCTTCAGAAATGAGAAGAATCTGGTATGAGTCAGGCATGAGCGCACAGTGGAAATACTCAGGGCTTGGGACAGGTGGGCACCAGGTTACTATAGCTCAAGTTACTCATGTGGTGTCTATGAGAAAGGCAAGAATAATCATTAAGTTAAATGCCCTGTCCTGGGTGACACCAGAACAGCCTGATTTCACCTTCCTGACCTAGCATGTTCACTGCTAACGTGTTTGTTAACAGCACTGAATCCAAATCTAATTTCAACTCTGATAAATGCACTAAACTTTTAAATTTTTATTGAATTATAACATACATGCAAGAAATATACAGTTGGGCCAGGGATATAGCTCAGTGGCACAGTGCCTGCCTGACAAGCAGAAGGTCCTGAGTTCGATCCCTGGTGTGGGAAAAAATAAACTCCAGGGTTCCTGACCCTGGTGACACGTAAGAAATATAGTTATATCTGTATAGTTAGATATGTTTTCATACATGGACACACCTATATAATCAGCTCAGTTGAAGCTGAATACATGTGCAGGGCTGTGGCATGGCCTGGGCATGGCTGAATTGAGAATGGGAGACACTTCAGGGGACAAGATAAGCCAGAGCTGAGGCCACCTGTAGACTTTCTGGATAGTTTTCTTTAGTTAGCATCATCTGTTGCTAATTAAATAACAGATGTGTTTGAACCCTTCCCAAGATCCTGCTCTGGTTTCCTGCATTTTCACTCAACTTCCTTGTTTTGAATAAATAGGGGCCACCCACGAACAGTCAGTCAGGCAGTTATCAGAGTTATGCACTCTGCAAGGATTTTGGTGGTCCTAGAGCCCTAAAGATCATGCCACTTGTCTCATTCATTTGAGCCTTCATCATGCACTTGTTTAGAAGATTGGGGACCTAGGCACAGACATCCAGGTACCCAAGGCACACAATTCACAAAGCCATAGACTAATTTTATGCATTTAATTTTTCATTTGATTAATATAAAAGTATCATGTTAATTATAAGTGTTGAAATAATGATAATAATAAAAGTCCTCTCTGAAGAAACACTTCCAATGAGCCAGACACTGCAGTAACTACTGGAGTTTTCAGCGAATGTTACCCAGAAAAGGCCATGGGTTCAGTTACCTGGTTGGGAAGATCTTTGGAGGGAAGAAATGAGTTTTGAGTCTTAGTAAATTGTACAGTTTCTCATGTCCTCCCTCCAGCTTTGCAGACAATAGATGGTTCTTTCTCCATTCCATTTTCTCCATTCCAGACATTTCTACCTGGAGTATGTGCCTGTGCCCTAATTTGGAGATAGGATAGAGGCATCATAAAGTGAATACAGTTTTTCTTATTGGCTCAAAGTTTCCTTGGACTTCACCCAAATTCTACGTAACATCATAGTGCACTGAACCTCCTCTTGATCCTGCCAGGAGAGCATGTAAATGAATCGTGCTGGTGGACAAAGATTGGGGATGGAGTTCTGTCACAATAGTGGACAGTCATTAGGTCCACATAACTGGACAGGAAAAACCACAAAGTGAACCACTTTAGTGTGAAACAGGGGCAATGCTGGACTTGGGCTGCAGGGATGCCGATGCCCCTCTGGACAGTTCTCATTGGCCACCAAGACCAGAGTCTAGGTGA